AATTTGTTCTAGAATATTTCTGTACCTTCCAGGAAGTTGTAAATTTATACAGAGGATCAGGAGATTAAATATATAGCAATTGAAACTTAGTACAGTGGTACCTCTGGTTACGAACTTAATTCGTTCCGAAGGTCCGTTCTTAACCTGAAACCGTTCTTAACCTGAAGCACCACTTTAGCTAATGGGGCCTCCTGCTGCTGCTGTTCTCATCCTGAGGTAAAGTTCTTAACCCGAGGTACTACTTCCGGGTTAGCGGAGTCTGTAACCCAAAGTTTGTAACCTGAGGTACCACTGTACTGGGAATACTATTTTGCAAATATTGAAGGTTTTAATTATCGCGAACTGTCAGTTCAATCTGTGGACTGGAGCAGACAAAACACCTTTGAAGTTTATTCTTCCACGACTGATGTAAGTGCTGCACTTTTTTGGTCAGTCAGTGGTACATGAAGGCCAAAGTTTCTTTCTGCCACTCACAGCCCACTGGCAGGGAGTCTTTATTTCAAGGCTTGTGCTACAGTCTCTAGTGTGCTTAGAAAGCTAGAGGTATATTAACATATTTTGAACAATTGTGCACAGTGGGTGTGTAGTATACATTTTAGGGCACTTGAGAATGAAATCAGGTTTACTTCATTTTCTACAACAAAATGAATTTTGTCTGATTAAAGAAATTATAGTTGGTTGATTGCAATTTTAAATGATCTGCATAATAAAAGTCACTTGAATTAAATGGTGACTTTGGAATGGAAAAGCATACTTTATCTAGTATTTAAGTGGTGTGTGTGTATCTGCGTGTGTGTGTATGTGTGTGTGTGCGCGCGCGCACACACACACGTATGTGCTGCAGCAGGCATAGTATTGAAGGAGGATATGCCTCCTGGTTGCAACAGAAGAGAGAATGCCTCTTCTAAAATGACATTTAGCACTATGGAAATTATTATTTTTTAAAAAAATGTGTTCCCAGATTGATCAGGGGCTCCTCTCTAGTTGACCAAATGGGTTGTGGCCCTAAAAACCAACCACCCAAGTAGTCTTCCTGCTCTGCTTTGGGATCCTGAGCTTTGGCAGTTTGCCCTCATCTCTGCCACTGCTTCTCTTGTGTCCAAGGCTGAATCTGTCCCACTTCCCTTATCTCCTAGGAGTGTTTCTGGCTCTGGGCCTTAGTGGGGTCATCCCCACCCTGCACTTTGTCATCACGGAAGGGCTCCTCAAGGCTGCCACAATGGGGCAGATAGGCTGGCTGGCTCTCATGGCCTGCCTGTATATCACTGGCGCTGCACTGTATGCTGCTCGCATCCCGGAGAGGTTCTTCCCGGGCAAGTGTGACATCTGGGTAAGTATGGCTGATAGATGGCAGGCACATAATAGGGAGGGTGAGAGGCATTAGTGCCATCCCTACTGCATATCTGCAGTGATGGATCACTGTGGTCTGTGGCCGAGCTCTATAAAGACACAGTTCTATAAATGCCTCTTACTGCTCAGTTCTGGGCTAAAATGGAGCCCTGCTGTGCAACTGCTAACTTTAAAACCCCGTGAAACTCTGCAACCTTCTCTTGGTAGGCATTACAAGAATGAAAAATATTTGCACTGTATCTGCCTTGGCATATCTGGCTCCCAAGAGAGGGAATGGTGCACAGCTGCAAAAATACAACCAATCTGATACAGCGCTGTTAATGCTCTGTCTTTGTTTGTTTATGTGTATGCGAGCATGCATCTTGTCCTCTAGCCAGTTATGCCAAGTTGACTGGGGCTGGGTGGGTTTAAATTGGCACCTCTTGGTGCTTGCATAGCCTGTTCACACAGAGAAACAAACAATGGATTCCTAGGAAGCAAGAGGGCTTATTCTTTGGCTGGTTGATACTTCACAATCTCTACTTACTAGCCAGTACCACCTATGATGCCCTCCTTTGGTGACTGTTCTGGAAAATGAGAGTCTCCATTACCTAAAGTGAAACAGTGTTCTGTTTTTCTCTCTCCCATAGTTCCACTCCCACCAGCTGTTTCATGTGTTTGTAGTGGCTGGTGCATTTGCGCACTTCCATGGAGTTTCAAACCTTCAGGAGTTCCGCTTCACAGTTGGTGGAGGCTGCTCAGAGGACGAGATGTAGTAAAACTGACCGCTTGTCCAAGATCGTAACCAAAAAAGCAGAACCGTTGGAGCAGTCAGTCTACACCTGACCCAGGATGGTGTAGAAGCTTCGCAGGGATTCTAACTAAAACTTGGAAGAGAAATTCATACCTCAAGCATTGGAGTGAATTGATTCTGAAGACCTGGAAGTTCTTAAACCCTAATTTATTCCTGGGGTCTACAGACTAAGCTACAGAAAGCCCTTTCTTAATCAGCTTCTGTTCAATGCCATATTTATTTGTAGAAAAACAAGAGGGGTTGTCATGGGGAGATGGCTTAGCATTTTTTTTTTCTTTTTTAAAATCTAGCTTGATTAAGATTTGTATCTTGTTCAGGTAAGTTGATTTTTAGATGCTCTTTTGGGAGGAAAAATGTAAATAAGATTTCTAACATTCTGTTTAATTGAAAAGTTTATATAAATGTTTTAAAATTGTGTGGGAGGGGAGGGTTTTTTGTATAGATTGCAACATGCAAGTACCACACACTGTTTCAAGTTTGCACGAACCCTTTTAAGTGCAAGAGGGCCAGGTGAAACCCCTGCAGCATCTGGGTTCTACAGAATCTTCCTAATGTTTGGGGATATACTGGACAGCTAGACCCAGCAGGCTCAGTCTGCACACAAGGTTCAGGGTAAGCAAGTGTGGACAACCTTAAATTGGGCTGACGCTTGGGCCCCTGTATGTTCAGAAGGCAAAGGCAGGAGACATTGTGCAGCTGAGCTCTGCTCCCTTGGCAGGGCGTGCCTTCTAAGATCTCTGCCATTTTGTGGATAGTCTTTAGGTGGTCTTTCTTTCCACCAGCCTTTTGCTGTGTTGGGATTTGATGGCTTAAGGCACAATATGGTATGTATCTCGACCTCTTTGGCTGTGGGGTCTCTTGTCAGTGTTTCACCATTCAGTTGGACCTGCTATCCTTTTTTATCCAAGTGCAATTGTTAGTGTCAGGCATCTGCCTTCTAGTTGAGAGACAGTAGGATAAGATGGTCTGCAGGGAGTGAGGAAGAACATATGAAAAAGCAGCCTAGACTAGCTGTTAATTCATTCTAGAGTATGTTGTGTGCTGCTGAAGTACAGTAGCACTAAGGTTGCCCGGTATTAAATTCCACCAAGCTCCACTTGGCTGCAATGTAACACTGCCGATCCTTCTTGCTTCCTTCTGGTATATAAGACAACGCTGCGCCCTGGGCTTTTTTCTTTCTTTAAAAAGAAGAACACCTTGCAGAATCTGCTTGGATATTACATTTTTGCCTCTCCTCAACAGAGTGCTTGGTACCCAAGAGAAGCTTGTTGTCTCTTTAAAAACTTCCCCAGATAGGTTAACTGCTTGTGGGGTAGCTGTACATTCTGAGAAGGGCAAATTATCACTAAGCAGAACACTCAGTTGGGCAAGAAGTGTAGTTGCTGTTTTCTCCTGCTAGGCTGGTGAGGCATGTCAGAGATGGAGAGAAATGTTTTGACACAGTGTAGAATTTGTGTTGTTGAATACTCACAGTGGGGGCACCATAGTATAATTAACTACAAGTGTTGGGAGATGATAGAATTTGTCACATGTTAAACTGCTTTTTTGATTATTAGAAGGAAGTTGGTCTTTCTGTCTTTTCTCTCTCCCGCCCTCAAAACAGAACCTTAGTGTTTAGACCTACAAGAGGTGCTTAACGGGTGCTTGTAGGCAATTTCAGATGTGTATATCCTGGGTAGGATCCTGATGTGCTGAATGCAGTTAGGCCAGAATGGCACCCTAATGCTTCTGATTGTTCAATCCCATACTAAAAAACAGAACAGTATTAATTGAACCCCTTTAATGGAATAGGTGATGATTTAACCTTCCCAGTGGTAAATGTAGCCATCTGGAAGAAGGATGGCTTGCCTGATGGGGAAAGTGCTAATACATATCGGACTCAGATCTACCTATCTGAAAAGCATTTTTTTTTTGAGAGCGAGAAAGGGGTGGTAGGCTGCTTCTGTATTAGCAGCAGAAATAGCACCTCCCCCATTCTGGATCATCCTATGCTCACTCCCAGAAAGGGTTTCTCACAACCTGGTCCTACGGCACACAACCTGTACAAAAACACACCCTCCACTTATTCTACCCCTTTGGTCTCTGTTTAGGACATTTTTTTGTGTCCCAATAAGAAAAACTGCTTAGCTGTGCACTTTTCCGTGGTGCTTGCTGAGACTTCTTCCCAGGTTGGCACCTGAATGCCTTACTCTCAGCAATCGGAGGTTCGCTTGCTTCCTTTGTGTGTGCAGGTTTTCAGTGTAGTATAGTTCAGAGTTACAGCTTTCTTTTCCCATTAACTAGTGGCCTTGTTCAGTATTTTCTTTTTTAAAAAATTGCTTACTGTGGGAGGCGACAAAGCACATCTTGGACTTTGAAGATTGGGGTCTCCGGGCAATGGGATCTCATTACTTGTTGTATTCTTAACTTCTAATAAAAAGAGCAAATGCAATGGAGGCTTGATGGGTGTTGTCTTTTTGGTCTCATTCATGATCATATAAGAACTGGATGGACGTATAGAAAAGTATGGATGGGAATGTGGCCTGGAAATACAGAAATTGGTTTGTGTTACATTAAATGGTGAAAGTTGTTCTTCCATGTTTTTGAACCAAGAGTAGAGAACCATAACCCTTCCTGATGTTTGGGGTCCCCCCCCCACTTTTTTCTCAACATACCATGTGCTCATATATTAAGGTCAGTTTGACAATGTGAAGCTCTTACACTATACTGGAATATTGTAAATACATCTAAGCACATTTACTTGTGAATGTAAGTGTGGGTCCATTTTCAGCATAATTCCAGTATGACCTGTGATGGGATTTTGTGGCATATTGTGTATGACAACCAAGAAAAACACGAAACAAAAATATAATGAAAATGTCATATTTTAAAAAGAGGCCAAATGTCAAACACATATTACAAAAACAAAAGCAAAAGTTCAACATCATCTGTACTGTCACAAATCTCTCTTGGGGATTTGAGAGTAGGACTTTCTTATTGAAATGCTAGTCATGTCAAGGAAATACATACCAGCAGTCCTGTAATATGGCTTCCTTCCTTTGCTTGCTTTCTCCATTTCTGAGGTCTTAAGGTCTTGGCTATCCAACCATCAGCCCACGCCTGGCACGTAAACTACTGGGATCTAGAAACGAAAACTTGGTGTGGTGAAAATTTTGCCCATAATTTCGTTCATAAGGCAAAATGGCTTTCAAAAGTTGAGAGAAATTTCACATTGTATTAGCACACCTCTGAGGGGTTACTCTCTTCCCTGAAAACTGATAAAGATTGTATTATACAGGTGGTGCATCCATGAAGCCGTCAGCATGTCTGGCAAAATAATATTGCGGGATACAGTAGGAACTGGAAGGTGACAGTCATATTTCCTGTGCATCTGTAGACTTCCCAAAAGTGTCAGCTTTTAAACATTTGCGTCTAACAAAGCTAATATGCACACTTAGCCTCGCCATGTTTAATTTTGTAACCTATGTAATTTTGTAACCTATGCAAGGGAGTTATGGCTAAACTCCTTGTCCAGTGATGTGAAGCTGAGGGAACTTGAGAGGTGTGGACAGAAGGAATATTTCTAAGGCTAGAGTTTAAGTTTGCCTTAATAACACAGAAACATAGGTAGAAACATTATTCCTTTTAGCTCAGTACTGTCTACACTGGCTGGTAGTAGCCATCCAAGGTTTCAGATGAAATTCTCGACCTGCAACCACTCCCCATAATGCATCATGCCTCTTGAAATAGAACACATGGAGCTATTTTCACATCAAGCTGATAAATCTAATCATTGTCTGAATCAGCTATTTTAGAGGAAAGCTCTCTGTGTAGCCTTAGAAGAGCTTAAATGTCTGCAATAGGCAGAGTTGCAGGAACTCCTTGCCGGTTACAGGAATCCCTGCCAAAGCCTGGCTTGGCAATATTGTTCTCCAGTTCCTTGACAATATAAATGAAACTCTGTTGATGACCATTATATTCTCTAAGAAGGTAATATTCCTGCCATTCCTGCAGAACTGCCCAGGTGTCTGTTAAGTTAAAAGAAAGGGGATTATGAGATGCTTCTCTTTAGCAGATAGTACTGACTGTTCCCATTTTGCAGCTAGGGTAAGTTATAGGTTAAGTCCATCCATTTGGCAAATGCCATCCACTGTTCCAGGCCTTTCCCCCACCAGTGTAAACTTTTCCATGCTGCTAAGGCAGGGAGGGGAAGCTGTGAGATCACACAGCTTGGTGAGCCTGTTGGTCCATAGCCATAGGTGCCCCACCCTCAGTTGCAAGCTTCTTGAAGAAAGGAAGCCCCACTTCCAAACACAACACAGCTAGCAAGTTCCTTGGGAGGATGCAGCCGAAGAAGTTCCTGAGCCTCTGTGGCATTGTCCACATGCTCTGGCATGCAGCAGTTGTCTTAAGTGCCCAAGTAGCATGGTCCTCAAAATAGAGCATTTGCCTTTCTGGTCCAAAATAAGGACTTTGATGGGCCTTGTCACCGCAAGAGAACAGCTGTGGTTCCCAGAGGAAGGAAGAGCAGGGCTAATGAGGCAGAAATCTCTGCCGCTCCTCCACAGTCCTGGGCGTTTTCCTGAAAAACAAAGCAAGTATGTGGTCAGCAAGTAGAATTTAGAGGGCAGCAAAAATTAAAGCCTAGCTTCATTTTAACTTGGGCCAGATGACTGAAACTTTTTTTGCAACGGGGATGGCCAAATCCAGCTCCCGATAACAATGGATCCATTCATAGGGCTGGCAGGATAAACTGTGTCCGTGCAGAATATGTGTGCTCATGAGTGCCTACCACATGGCAAGGAACCCAATGCACTTGGCTATATGTATAACGGGTGCACAGGCTTGTTGCATACATCACATCACACACACACTGATGGACAGGTGGGGGCACTGTGCCCTATTTTTAGGGCCTCCACATAGGCAAACAAGTGAGGCAGCTTTGTGGTGGTTAGAAATGAAGAATCTATGGATTGACATTTCAAAACCCAGCCTATTTTATTTAGGCCAGCACATTATCATGGCTGCTGTGGGGCAGAGCCTACTTTGTCAAATGCAACAATTCCTCAACCCGCCTTACCTCGGGATGGAATGCATGGCAGGTATCTGGTCGCCGCCTCAGCTTCTGGGAACGCATCCTGTCACATTTCACTGATGCATTATGTGCAGTGCTGTTAAGGTTAATAGCAGTTTGGGGAAATGGTTGAAAATCAGAAACAATCCCATTTATGGAGGAGCTGTGTTGTCCCAGAATTCCAGTTTACAACTAGGCTGTACAAGTCATAAGATGTATTCCCACAGAGGTGCCCTTGATTATGAAGCTACTGCAAGGCCTCTACTCACGTGGAATGTCATGCACTCATTCTAGCATAAAGGGTGCTGTCACAGGCAGGACATTTCTCAAAATACTTACGCTACACCTGGTAAGTAAAGGGACCCCTGACCATTAGGTCCAGTCGTGGCCGCTTTATTGGCCAAGGGAGCCAATGTGGCATGACTAAGCCACTTCTGGCGAACCAGAGCAGCGCACGGAAACGCCGTTTACCTTCCCGCTGGAGCGGCGCCTATTTATCTACTTGCACTTTGATGTGCTTTTGAACTGCTAGGTGGGCAGGAGCAGAGACTGAGCAATGGGAGCTCACCCCGTTGTGGGGATTCGAACCGCCGACCTTCTGATTGGCAAGTCCTAGGCTCTGTAGTTTAACCCACAGCACCACCCGCGTCCCTACACCTGGTAAGTAGGTGGGCTCAATTAAGATCAGCTAGTATTTTTGAGCATACTTTAATCTGAACACTGCTTAAATTCTATTGAAACTAGTGGGAGTTAATTTTCCCATTGATTTCAACATGATTTTAGTTGGAATGGAGCCATCACGGGTGGCTGCAGAACCAAGCAGCAGCTTTCAAGGCTAGTGATCACACTTAATGAGCAAGCTCCAGGAGCAGTTAGCCAGGGGTAAGACCTACTGGAAGCAATGGGACATAAGTTAGTCACAACCACCTTGAGCAATATTAGGGCTACAATCTACATATTTTTTCCAGCACTGTTGCTGCAGAGCTAAAATTTGTCTGCCAAAGGAGAAACTTACTGTTATATTAAATGTGTCTTCATAGTTTCATGTGTATGCCTTTAAAAGAAGTTCTTCCTTGCAAGTTTTTTAAATAACCACTCTTTCCCCCACAAACATACACTCCACTGCCTCAATGTAAATCTCCCTGAAGCCTGTTGGTATCCTGTGCATCTATGTCTTGGTTCTGTTCCAGAACAAGAGTCCCTGCAACTGTAAAAAGCAAACACGTGCCCACATGGGAAGAAGTAGCTCCCGTAATAAGCAGTTTCACCCTGGCATTTTGGAGCTGCAATGCACAACATCTTTCTGTACCATTCACTGGCTTACAGCAAATAAGTCCATTGGTCCATCTCACACAGTATTAATGTATTATGGTACACAAAGCACATGGTCCACCATTGACCTAGGACTCCTTCCTTAATTGGGCTTCTATTTTGCAAATGCTAATGAAACCGACAGCATCTTCATCTACACAGAACTGTGTGGGGACATACTTCAGAGTGAAGACTATTTTCAGGTTCTAAAGAGAGTTTAACTAAATAGCAAGTCTGATTTCTCTTTCCGTCTTATGCCTGGTACCCCTGTGCTTTTTCTTTCCACCTCCTTTCCAGCAATTGAGGAGGCATCTAGAAAAATGCACACAATCAATCCATATAGCACTTACCAAACAACAGTACACAATCGTAATTAGCAGCACATTAACTTGCCATTGCTTTTGCCATGCTTTCCATTAGAACGTATGCTAAATTCTTCCCACCCCAAAGAACTACTAAAGCAAACCCTCTGCATCAATTCACTGTTGGAAAAATGTAAACCACAAGAACTGTACAGCCCAGTACAACCTCTACCAGAAGATATATTTGACTTCTTTAGGTTGTAGTAGGACAGGTGGAAAGTTGCTGCAGTCACATACAGCATCCACAACCAGGAGCAGGAGATTGCTGTTGGTAATTTGCTGCACCACAAACATCCTGTAAGGGCGAGAAGATCCCCCCCCCCAAGAGACTATGGTCAGAACAGAAGGTTACAGAATACTCCCCTTGCCCCTTCCAGAGGTGTCTTTTTCCAGGAGGAACTCAGTTCCAGCACCTCTCAGGTGGGTGCCATTGCCGTTCTAAGATAACAAGGGAGGTGAGTTCCAACACTTCTTTTTCTAAAAAAAATAGCACTGCCCTTCCCTTGCCTTCCTTCCCTTCCCACCACCACCACAAACAAGCACATGGTTCAAGCAATAGGAAACAGCAAGAATTAAAGCAAATGGGAAGGGGGCAGAGGAAAATGTAATTAGTTAATAAATGGGCATACTATTAGGGAATATTCAGAACTGAGTTGAAGACTGCCACTTTCAATTACACAAATACAATTTTATTGCATTGAAGGCAGAATGGTTGAGAAACTTGAGCTGTGGGTTATAAAGCAGGGACAAATCCTTGTGTACTGCAGACTAATCTGTTAATACTGTAGTGCAGCTCTTGTGTAAATGGACTGATATGATGGTTGACTCTGGATGGGAATGCAGCATCTACATACATCGTGTGTGTATCCATGCACAATTCAGAGGTTGTAGGTTTCTGAGTGTTCATCTTCAATGTACTCTGCATTATAAGTATAGTGCTCATGCATGGAAGGGCCTGCAGAAGAACTAATTGTGTATGTATTGAAGCACATTGACTTAAGTACACCACAGTTATGTGTGCCAAGGCAGGATTGCAGATTCAGAGTGTGTGTTCAAGCCAGTGTAAATGTATGTACAGGACTGACCTGTGAATTAAAGTGTACGTATTAAACCCTATACAGCTATGCATGGGAGCCACATTCAAAGAATGACTATAAAGTCCCATGTGTGGCCCAATACTGAGGGATCAGCTGGTGACGTGGACAGACTCTGCTCACATGACACTGAGGCTACAACATTCTGTGTCTGCTCCCTTCTCTAGCTATCAATACGGTGCAGTATTTGGACCGCGGGCTTGAATTCTCATTTATTGTATATGTGTCATTTTCATAGTTACTATTAATTATTTTCTGACAACATAAAGTGTTCATGTTCAAGTAATATGGAAAATAAGCATGCCTACAGCCAGAAAAACCAATAGTCCTCTACTGCCCTCTGCTGGGAGACTAAGAGTGGTGTTTACTTAGCTAACACCGAAAAGTTCCATCTTAATATTTAGCACCTGAGTTTTAGTTCTTAGATCACCTCCTGTGGGCTTGTGGAGGCTTTATTCAAATGGCCATCTCTGCAAACAGAATCCTGCCAGCCGTACCCAGCTGGGTACCATGTCTGAGTTAATGGAATCATTTAAAAGCCGCATAATAATAATAATAATAATAATAATAATAATAATAATACATGCTTCATGGGCATAATCCTAGGGCTGGTCCAAATGTTACATTTGAGTGATAAGCTTTTCCTTCAGCAACACTCCCTACAGAAGTGGCAACATCTAGAACAGTAGTTCTCAAACTCCACCCCCCAGTCCACTTGAAATTTGCAGGGGGTCTTGGGGAACCACTTAATGATATTTCTACCTGCTGTAGCAGTTGTAATTCCACAGAATTCAATTTGTAATACAATAAAATACAATATTAAGAAAATAAAAGAAGCGATAACAATGCAATTAAAAATTGGCACAAAACTAAATGCAAATGATGTATGATTTCCCATCTTCAGCCACAAATTCACAGACACCTTGAGAACCACTTGTGGTCCACAGACCACACTTCAGGAACCCCTGATCTGGAAGCTTCCTACCTGCTTCAACCACCCAAGTGAATGAAGCATCCAACTCCCAGCACCATAATTCCCAATCGTGTTAGTGTGGGATGCTGCAACAAGAAGCTTTTAGATATTAGAGCTCTGAACATTACATGAAAATACTAATGTCTGAATTAGTCCTTACAATAATGATGTAAGTTAGATCAGTTAGGGGGCAAGAGGGAGAGAGAGAGAGAGAGAGAGAGAGAGAGAGAGAGAGAATGAAAAATTTTCTGGAGATCACTTGCTGAGTTCATGGCTGAGCTAAGAAATTGCCCCATGTGCTTTAACCATTATGTTTATACCAACCATCATAGGAATTGCTTCAGAAGCTATCTGGTATTAGTAGCTACACAGGAGAGACATGTGTTGCTAAGAGCAGGGCTGAGCTTATTTGCACAAGACAAAGTATTCAAATCTAATTTGCTCCTAGTATGGTGTACCTGCAACCAATGCCCTGACAGAAGGGCTTTTTTCAGCTGGAACTCACCAGAACTCCGTTTCAGCAGTGCTCAGGTGGGTAACATTGCCATTATAAGAGAACAAGGGAGGAATTCATGGTGAGTTCTGGCACCTCTTTTTCTAGAAAAAATAGCACTGCTTGACCGTATAAATGAGAGAGGAGAAAAGATAATGCCTAAGGCAGGGCTGACAGTTCTCAAACTCACTATAGCCAGACTTGAGTCTGTCTGTTTTTGGGAACCAGCATCAAATGCCCAGATTTTTTGGTGCCAGTATTCAGTGTTTAGGCACACTGAGCCTAAAGTTGGCAAAGTAGAGTTCTTACAGGTAAACATGCCTCTCAGCCCTTGCATGCAGTTTAGAATGAGTGATGTAAGTTCTCTAAATGAGGGACAATCTCACATAGGAAAACACTCTATGGAGAGCTTTGTGTGAAAAGAAGATTGCCTTGAAAAGAAATGGATGTTGAACAGAATTAACATATCTGTGGGCCCTCATGGATATTGTCAGGGGTTCAGGGAGAGAGGCACAGATGAGGGAGGAGACTGAGAGCGAGGGGGAAGAATCCCGGAACGAGGAGGAGGAGGATGACAATGACTTGAGGGTTTCCATGAGTCTTTCAAGTGAATCGGAGGATTCCCAAAAGGGGGCGCCCCTGGTCAGGCCAAGGGGAGTCACAGGGGGGACTCGTCAGGAGCAGGGGAGCAGCAGGGGAACCCCGAGTGGGAGTTGGAGATCGGGGCCGGCTTCCCCGCCGGAACGGAGTGAAGAGGGTGGAGTTCCCAGTGTGACAGACGAAGCAGAGCAGGAAGCAGAGAGGGGAAGGAGATCGGGGCAAGACGTCCTGCCGGAAGGGGCGGAGAGTAGTACAGAGAGTAGTGTAACTGTCAAGAGGAAGGTCAGAGGTAGCGAATGCGCGCCAAGTTCAAATGTGGAGGCGCGCGGAAATGCGGAGAGCCCGGAGGAGGAGCCTGGTCCCAAAGCACGGAGGAGGGGGGAGCAGGCGTCTGGGGACTCAGCGTCAGGGGAATCCAGGAGGGGAGGAACCCAGGGGGGCAGAAAGACCCTGCGGAAAAGGAAGGACAGGAAGAGGTGGACCAGCACAAGCCTCTTAAACTGGTGTAGAGGCGGGACTGATTCAGAGGGGACTTCAGCGGTCTAAGCGTAACAGACGTGGGGCTGCGCGCCTCGGCTGTGGAACAAACAATGTACTTCAATAAAGACTTTTGTAAATAAAGTGGACTTGGCGTTGGTCTCTTGTGAGCTGGGACCTGAGGCGGCCCTGACAGTAAGTCCCCTCTCCATAAGAACGCAAAAATTTTTTTGCAAAGCTCACGAAGTGTGGCAGCCATGAGTGCGGAGGAACAGTTGACAGCACTACGGAACGCAGTCACCGAGCTCTCCACTGCGGTAATAGCCTCTCAGAAGAAGAGTGACGATGCGGAGAAGCGATGCCAGGATCTGCAAGCCAGGTGGGAGCGTGCATGCAGAGAGGGGTTCCCAGGGTCCAGATCAGAGGGAATTGGACTTGGAAGGCGGGGGGGGGCAGTTTAGTCGCCCACTTCGATGGGAACCTGAAGCACTACCCCAGTTTCAGAGCAGACGTCCTATATGCACTGCATTTGCTTCTCAATGACTTTAAAGATGAGGAGGAGAAAGTGGGTTTTATTGTGTCTCATTTGCATGGAGACGCTAGAGCGTGGCTGCGCAATTTGTGGCGCGAAGATGGTCCTGCCTGCCGCGATTCTGATGAATTTATCAAAGCTATGGACGCTTGTTTCCAGTCCACCGTGGATGTTGATGTTGCGCGCCGAGAGATGCACGGACTCCGACAAGGCAAAGCCACTGTGCGTCAGTACCATTCGCGCTTTTTTGCATTGCTGACTGTATTGGGCTGGGAGAAAGACTCCAAACCAGTGAGAGATTTGTTCTGGGAGGGACTCCACAGCTCCATAAAAGATGAATTGGCCAGGGGTGACAGACCTCAAACCCTAGCAGAAGTAGTACAGAGGGCTCTTGCGATTGGAGTACGACACGAAGAACGTCCTTGGCACAGTGAGGAAGGTCACCAGGTGCGTGCGCCAGCGAGGGCACCTCCTCTTATCCCCAGGGAGTTCAGCCAGGCGCATCCTTCGCCTCTGATGCGGCAGGGGGAGGAACCAATGGAGCTTGGCGGTGCTAGAGCTAAGACAGCAGCCAGAGCCCCAACGTCCGGTGCAGTCAAGGCGAAGCCTCCTAGAGGGAACAGGAAATGTTACATCTGTGACAGTGCACAGCACATGGCTAAAGAGTGTCCCCAGAGGCTCCAGAAGCACACTGCAGCGTTAGCAACGGTCGCAGCAGACGTACTTCACGAAGAGCAGTTTCAGGGAAACGACAGTGCCTGGCTGGAGACAGCGATGCTGGGGCTCAGCCAGGTGAGTCTGTAGAGCAGTCCCCAGCGATTTTGCAGCACACAGACCCCTTACCACCCAAGCCAGCGGTGCAGCTCGCTGCAACACTCCAGTTGCCGAATGGAACCACCCTGGAAGTCCGCATTACAATCGACTCTGGGAGCAACGCGGACTTTGTGGGGGTGCAGTTCGTCAAGCAGCATCGCATAGCGCTTCTGCCAGCTACGACGCCCCTGAACGTAGTCACGGTCGATGGCAGGAAATTGCTAGGAGGGCAAGTTGTGCAACAGACGCCTCCCATAGTGATGCAGATTGGAAATCATCGAGAAGTCATTAGCTTCAACGTCACCCGCCTATC